TCGGGCCAAATGCCTAGGTGCCAGCTGCCACGGTCATCCTACAAAAATGGTCAGGAATCACACGGCCCCAGTGAAGATGGTTGCCATCTCAGTGGGACCTCCAAATTGTCAAAGTTAGACTTAGGACTCGTAGTTTGTCAGACCACTCTGTTTTATTAGCACAGCACTCTGCTAATACATTCAGATAATGTGAGCCCCCATGCAAGATTCAAACAGTCTTATTTATACAGATAAAAGGGTGTGAACTAAACAAAGAGACAGAGAGAGCAAAATTGTAAAATTTGCATAGGGCACAATATGCATATCCTGCTTCCTTTTTAATCTTATCGATCTAAGGCTAATGCTTCACCAATTGCCCTTAAGTGAGGCAATTCATTAAGCAGTTAATGTCTGCTTTCCTGCCCCCTGGCTTGCAGCATTTCTCATTTCTACTTAAAGGTACATACAGCATTCTTTAATTCATTCTATTTCTTTAATATAATTCATTTCACTTTCATACTGAGGAAACAGAACAGCTCCTCCCAGATCCCACCCAGGGGGCCCTGTTCTTCCTGACTGCCACAGTGCACAACACTGAACTAGTCACACTTTGTAGGGGGAAACCTGGATCCCAGTAAGGGCTGAGAGGTGGAGGGAATAGAAAGGAACCATCTCCCTTCCCTTCAGGGAAGATCCTGAAATGCTAAAGAAAAGAAGTAACAGATAATAATGGTCTAACTCCCTTAAAGATACTAGAGACAGGGCAGGAATGCATTTGCTCCCAACTCTGAAATGAGTGTAGTAGAGGGTCACCTATAGCCATGCTCAGCATGCTGGCTACTGTTTAATAATTTATGGTGTCTCATCAGGACACTACAGCAACATGATACCCTCCCCATGGGTGCAGTCACTGCAAAGCAACATCTAGGGACCTATGAGCATTCTGTGCTTTTCTACAGCTTTCTCTGATGACGAAGTGACCCCCCTTCAGCTTTTCCAGCCGTTGCAGATTGAAACAGTTCATTCTATAACCCACCCCTATATCAGATGTAGTAGAAACTTAGCATCATTCACAGCTGACCTCTGTCACCATTTGTAACTAAAGAACAGCTCTGGTTGCCTGGCAACATCACAGCAGAAACTCTTTGGTGAGAATTCCCATGTGGTCACCAGAGCAGATATAGGTGGTTGCAATTCAGCACATGGGGAATGGTGCTGAGAATATGATAAATGTGCAAATGTTCTAGGCAAGAATTTGTATAGGGTCATTACAAAATTGAAGGGGAATAAGAAGACACCTCTCTTTTGGTGTCATTCTCCTCTCACTTATCACAGTTTTACAGCTGTGCATCTCTATTGACTTCAGGGCAAGTTTACACTGGGGTAAGTGAGAGGGCAATTGTTTCCTTTAAACTCCTTTAAACATCTAATCCTTCCTTATTTTAATGTTAACTCAGTAATTGTAATGTAGTCTTAAGTGTGTACATTTCTTATTTATTTGTTTGTTTGTATTTTTCTTTTCCTAAAAAATGAATTGGAGAACAAAATACCCTGCCCAAAATAAAATAAAGCAGAAGAACAGAAAGGTAAAAATAAATGAGAGAGGAAGGGAAAGAAGGCGGAAGAATGTGCAGGGAGGGGAAAGGAGAATGACATTTTGTGTTCCATCCAGTAGGGATTAATCAAAGTTTTTTTTTTTAAAAAGTTAGAGCTAATTTAATCAAATTTGTCGGAGGTCCCTCGTCTCTGAAATTTTGCCTACCCTTTAGCTGCAAGGTCAGCAAAGTCACTGTGCCAAGCAAGCGTCTTTCCCTGGAGACAATCTGCTTACTTCTTCACTAGTAGCTGGAAGCCTGTACTGTTCCATGAGTGTAGCTCATAAAGTCTGTGTGTAGAAAATCCAAAAGTGGCTGAGAAGTTAAAAACTGGACACTAACTAACAAAGAAGCACAGTGATAAATGAACCTGGTGATATTCTAAACAAAAAGAGCTCTTAACGTTATTGTACCTATTTCCATCATTTCATGCTGACTCAACTGACATTCTAGTCTTTGGAGAGATGTTTGGGGTTCTTGTGTGTGCTGGTTGTTTGAATTTGTCAGCCTTCTTGATGTCATCTGTTATTACCTTTCCTACCTTGTTAAATAGAGGACCTACACTTTCCTTTGTCTTTCTCCTAATGTACTTTTAATTCCTCTTTTTATTGCCTTTGATGTCCCTTTCTAATTGTAACTCATTTTGTGCCTTAGCTTACTGATTCTGTCCCTACAAGCCTGTGATAGTCCTTTGTACTCCTCCATAGCAATTTGTTCATGTTTTCACCTTTTGGAGGATTCTATTTTGATTTTCAGGCATAGAAACTTCAGAGTGACACATGGAATGACAATCCTAGAATCTGATTACATAGATTGTAATTTCAACTGAGTAAGTCCTGGACAATATTTGGAATTTCAACCTAAGTGCCTCATTTTTTCCACTGAACATCTTCTTCTATGGCAATTGGATGAATAAATCCCATCAAAACATCTTTAACTGTTTCAAAATCTGAGCCCTTTCTTTCTGGAGTAAATCAAAATTCTAGGCTGGCTTAATTTCCTTCTGGGTGGGCACGTACCCTGCATTCCATGTTCCCACTGTGTGTGTTATACTCCTGCACCCAATGGAAAATTGCATGATTATCCTGACTACAACACACATACCTAATACGTTTGTGTGTCAAACTATTCCCAAATGTCTATTACCAATTTAAATGTTGGGTTCCAGCTGTGTGTTTTGATAGTGTAGGAGCTGGAAACATAAATAGGAGTTATGCATTTATTTATTTAGCATGTGCATTAATTATGTGCCAGACTATCTCTGCAGTTATGTTGAATAAATGAACAACTTCTTTCCATATTTCCACATAGGTTAGGTCACTAGCTCATATTTCCAAATTCCCATCCTATTTGTGCTTTTCAGCAGCAGCAATGGTGTTACAAAAAAGGGTGACAGGTTTCAGAGTGGTAGCTGTGTTAATCTGTATCAGCAGAAAGAATGAGGAGTATTTGTGGCACCTTAGAAACTAACAAATTTATTTGAGCATAAGCTTTCGTCAGCTAAAGCCCCCTTCATCAGATGCATGTAGTGGAAAATACAGTAGGAATATATATATATATAATCACATGTACATGGCAGAGGGGCATTGCTGGCCAAACCGGACAGTCTCTACAAAAGAATAAATGGACACAAATCAGATGTCAAGAATTATAACATTCAAAAGCCAGGAGGAGAACACTTCAACCTCCCTGGATACTCAATTACAGACCTAAAAGTAGCAATTATTCAACAAAAAAACTTCAAAAAACAGACTCTAATGAGAAACAGCAGAACTGGAATTAATCTGCAAACTGGACACCATTAAATTAGGCTTGAATAAAGACTGGGAGTGGATGAGTCATTACACTACCTAAAAACTATTTCCCCCTGCTAATTTTCCCCTTACTGTTACTCACACCTTCTTGTCAACTGTTTGAAATGGGCCATCCTGATTATCACTACAAAAGTTTTTTTCCTCCTGCTAATAGCTCATCTTTAATTGATTGGTCTCATTAAGAGTTGGTATGGCAAGCTCCATTTTTTCATGTTCTCTGTGTGTATATATATCTTCCTACTGTAGTTTTCACTACATGCATCTGATGAAGGGGGCTTTAGCCCACCAAAACTTATGCTCAAATAAATTTGTTTAAAAAAGTGAGATTCAAATAATAAGAACAGTGAAAACAGGATTGTTAGCTGAAAAACTCTAATGGCCACCAGAAGTCTTGTGACATTAGAACCAGAAGACTCTCTGAATGGTCTTTTCCATTCTTTGGATTACTAAATATTCCTGTGGGTTTCTTTAGTGGAGCAGTCAAGGGGAAAATTTAGGTGCAAGTGTAACTTTCTGGTCCCATTCCCAGCTCCGAATGGACATTGGACCATTGTGATTGGATCCAACCTCTGAATCCCATGTGCTACTGAGTTCCCTGGATCCAGGTAGTGACTGTGCACTGTTACTAGATGTGAGTCTCTCAGCACTCCCCTTGTTTCACCAGGGTTGAGCCATTCAGTGTTGATGGCCCTTGACGGTGTTATCACTGCTTTCCAGGGATATATTACCCAGAACCTGTTATATGTTTCCTTCTACAAAAGAGATGATCCCATCCAGAGAGATGGTTGCAACTAGAAATAGCATTCATCAAACCAACTGGAATTAACAACTGGACAAAGACATATTCCCCAAATCTTATCCAAGCAGACATTGGCAGAACTCCTTAATCAAGCTGTACAGATTATGCTCTGTGTCATGTTTAAAATATCCAAAGGGCCTATCCACAAGATAAGGTGCATGAATACATTTCAAAATCTGGCTCTGAGGCATTTCTTGAAAATTTTACCAGTAAATTTTAGATGCTGAGTGGCTGTCAGAAAGAATGGTGAATATCCTTGCAGAGAAATGAACATACTGTGTGATTCCCTTTAAGAGAGATTTCAGAGATATATCAGTAAAATGAGGGGAGGGGGAAGAAAATGTATAAAAATAAATGTGTTATGGCATCAACTCTGTGTTTAACATCTACAGAAACTAAGGTGAAAATAGAAAAGTTTGATGCTACTCTGAGTTATGTTTAATTTCGCTTCCTAAGTTTATTCAAAGATATGCATGGTCTCATAGCAGTATGATAACATATCACAATTATATTGCAATAATTATCATAACTATTAAAAAACTTTGTAAACTGTCTTAAATATCAAGTCCATTTTACACAAGAGCAACTGAGCATTTGTACAGCTCTAGTTTCACAAATCTCAAATAACATTCAGAAAAGGTAAGTGGTACAATCCTCATCATCTATTTTATAGAGGAGAGCACAGGAGCCTGGGTGGCGGGGGGGGGGAGGGGGAGAAGTGACAAGTCAAAGGACATGGAGTGGATGAGTTAGCAATAAAACCGATGTCTCTGGGATCCAATTCCAGTGTCCACTCTATCTGCTGGACTCTGCGGTGTAAATATGGGTAAAAGAAGTATGAGCCCAGCATTTGGATATGACTGGTATTTTGATTTGAAGCCAAGTGAGTGGCATTTAATTCCCTTAATCTCCACTGGTAATCTCAGACATTGTGGTTAGAGTAATACACCGGGATGTTCAGTAGGCAGAAAGGGAGATGTTCTGCCATAGAGATACCAGACAATAGGAACTATTCAAATGTGATTTAATGTGGGCACTTTCAAAAATTTTACCAAGAATGCCTCTGCCATCTGGACTCTTGACTCAGCCATTGACATTGTAACTAGCAGTGGGAAGCCAGAATTAAAAGGTTGAGTATATTGAAATGGAAGTTACAATATAAATTGGATTTTTTAATATATTTTCTTTAGATGAATCTTATGGAAAGGAAACAGGGAAATGAAACTTCCATCACAGAATTTATCCTCCTTGGATTCGGGAATGTCCCTCAGCTGCAGATCTTTCTCTTCCTGCTGTTTCTAGTGATCTACATTGTGACCATGACCGGGAATATCCTCATCTTTGCACTAGTTGTGGCTTACCAGCAACTTCACACCCCCATGTACTTCTTCCTTGGGAACTTGTCCTGCTTGGAGACCTGCTACAGCTCCACCATCCTGCCCAGGATGCTGACCAGTCTCCTGACTGGGGACAGAACCATTTCTGTTAGTGAGTGCATCACACAATTATATTTCTTTGGTTCTCTGTTAACCACTGAATGTTCTCTTTTATCTGTGATGGCCTATGATCGGTATTTGGCAATATTGAAACCGCTACATTATGCGGTCCTTTTGAATGACAGGTTCTGCCTCCAGCTAGTGGCCTGGTCTTGGATCAGTGGATTTATGTCTGTTGCCATCATAATATTTATGATGTCACAGTTAAGATTCTGTGGCCCCAGTGAAGTTGATCATTTCTTTTGTGATTTTAGCCCAATAATAAAACTGTCCTGCAGCGACACTCACACGCTGGAAGTTACTGCTTTCATACATTCCTCCATATTCACATTGCCTCCATTTCTATTAACAGTGGCATCCTATGTTTGTATCATCTCCACCATCCTGAGAATCCCTTCCACCACCGGGAGGCAAAAAGCCTTTTCCACTTGCTCCTCCCATCTCATCGTGGTGACAATATTCTATGGGACGCTAGTCATTGTGTATCTGCTATCAGGCTCTGAGGCATTGAGGGACCTGAACAAAGTGCTCTCTGTTGTCTATGGAGCCTTAACCCCATTGGTCAACCCCCTCATATACAGCCTGAAAAACAAGGAGGTTAAGGAAGCCTTGAGGAAAGCTGTGCTTAGATTTTTTGTCTTTTACAAGAACACAGATATTTCAAGATAAAAGGCATATGTAATGGGGCAATCACTGGGATATGATCTGGCAAAGTCACACTCCTGTGAGTAGCCCTAACTTACCTTAGAGTGCCTGTTATACTCCAGACTACCTCTGGCTCTGTGACACATTTTGGAGGGAAATATCTAAGACTTGCACTGCCCCCCCACCCCACTTGCACTTTAACGTGTGAAGAATACAGTGCATTGGCCCCCACACTTGCAGTACATATTCTATGAGTATGGATGAATTTTCCAAGAACTTGCAAGCTAATCTCTTGATTGGTGTAGAGAGGCGGACTCACCCCTGCAGCACCTCCTGCTGGTTGCCTCAGGAATTAGCTCTTCCAGCATCCTGGAGCGCCCCCTGCAGGCCGGTGATCCACCTGTCCTCTGGCCCCATGTCCCTCCCAGACCCCGGTGCCCTTGTATCTCGGGTGCTGCCCCCCAGCAGTACACCCCTCAGTACTAGGGTCTCCCCTCGCCAGGGAACCCCCACCCACTATCCCTACCTCACCTCAGAATAAGGCCACTGCCAGTCACCATCTAGCTCCTGTTCCCTGGGGCAGACTGCAGTATAGGCCACTCATCATTGGCAAGGCGGGGTTTGAACCTGCTGCCTTAGCCTAGTTCTGGGCTGCCCTCTGCAACCCCCAGTACCCCTTAGCCTTCCACTAGGCCACAGCCTGAGGCTTTCCAGGCTGGAGCTCCCCAGCTCCTCAGCCTGTCCCCCAGCCCTGCTCCACTCAGGTGCCCTGTCTCTAGCTTGCTGCAGCCAGGCCTGTCTCTCTCTGAAGGCAGAGAGAGACTTTTTGGGCTCCTGGCTCCCAGCCTTCTTATACAGGCCAGCTGTGGCCTGATTGGGGTATGGCCCAGCTGTGGCTACTTCCCCAATCAGCCCCGTAGCTTTTCCCTTTGCCCCAGCCCTCTACCAGGGCTGTTTTAAACCCCTCAGGCAGGAGCGGGATAACCACCCCGCTACAGTTGGTTTATGAGAATAAAAGAGTGAAATACCTGCCCTTTCAGAAATGTTAAATGTGTTGCATTTCTTTGCTTTATCCCGAGTGATCCTAAAACTGCCAAGAAGGAGACAGCAGCAAATCTCACCCCTCCTGAAGCTGCATGACCCAGCCTCAGAGCCACACAAGAAAGAGATTGGGGTAGACCCTGTGACACTGCACCCCATAGTCTTCATAGTGATATTATTATGACATGATTATGGCATAATTATGATGTATTTGATGCAAGATAAGTCATGTGGTGTGTCATTAGAAAAGTTATGATTTGCTGAATATGATTATCCTATTTGTATGCATGTATCATTTTTGAATCTGGAGTTATAAATACTGACTATGTATCTGTACTTCAACTGTAATTACACCTGGATAATGCCAACTAGACAAGATGCTTTCAGTCTAGACAGTGGTTGGGGAAGAGCCTATTCATGGAATGGGCCATTAGTAAAAACAATAGGCCTTAGGAGAAGCTTATCCCTCACCTTGTGAGCCTTCCTGAGAATGCTATAGACAGCCTGTAAGTAATGGCTGCTATGAAACGTCAAGGATATGTGATTAGGCCACATGATGCTGGACTCCATCTTGGGATGCCAGTATTTTTCCAAAAACCGTTCTGGGAACCAAGCTTTGAGAAAAAAGGGCTCGTCCAATATGCTAAATCTATATAAAGCAGGGAATAACATCATCTGGGGTTCTTCACCCCCACCCCCAAAAAAAGAAAATACCTGGAAACACCTGAGGAACAAAGACTGAACTGGGGGAAGTGCTGGACCCAGGCTAAAGGGATTTCTAGCCTGTGTATGAAAGACCTGGGGATTCCAAGCTGTAAAGCAAGTTCAGCTTGTCCCTTAAGAATCTACAAGTCTGCCTGTAAAATCAATTAGTGTGAGAATCTGCAATTCATATCCAATCTATCTAGTATCTTAAGTTTAGGTTGCATTTTTGTTTATTTGCTGGGTAATCTGCTTTGATTTGTTTGCTATCACTTATAATCACTTAAAATCTATCTTTTCTAGTTAATAAATTTATTTTATGTTTTAATCTAAACCACTGAATTTGGAGTGAAATGCGTGGGAATCTTAGCTCACAGATTGCATATTGGGGAGAGGGGGCCCGAATGCTATGAGCTTACGCTGTACAGTTCCCTGTGCAGCGCAAGCCAGTATAATTTTGGGTTTATGCTCCAGAGGGAGTGAATGCCTGGGGAGCTGAGAGTTACCTTGGGTTTAGCCTCTATATTGTTAGTTCACATGCAGTGGCCGGTCAGAGAGCCTGCATGTAACTGCAGCTGGGTGTACCCCTACCTGTGTGTATGTTGGTGGAAGTTTAAGATCGGGAGCATGTCTGCAGCTTGTCACAGCAGCACAGTGTGAGGGGGAGCACAGGATGGTGGGTCAGAGGGCTCGGTGGTTCCCCAGTTCCAGGTGGCACTCCAGGTGGAACCCATCACAACCTCCTCTAATGACGCCTCCTCAGATTTGTCTCCCAAAAAGAATGGCTCAGGTTTGGGAATCTCCCCCCCATCCTCTGCAATGTAGACCGAATAGGAGTAAAGAGGTTATTTTATCTCTATATTTGGAACTAGAGCAACAGCTGCTGGAATTATGTGTCCAGTTTTGGTGCCCATAATTCAAGAAGAATGTTGATAAATTGGAGAGGACTCTGAGAAGAGCCATTAGAATGATTAAAGATTAGAAAACATGACCCAAAGAACTAAACCTATTAGCTTAATGAAGAGAAGGTTAAGAGGTGACTTGATTACCATCTATAAGTACGTACATGGGGGAAAATATTTCATAATGGGCTCTTCAGTCTAGCAGAGATAATTATCACAATTTAATGTCTGGAAGTTGAAGCTAGACCAATTAAGATTGGACATAAGGCATACATTTTCAATGATGAGAGTAATTGACCATTGGAACAATTTACCAAGGGTCATGAAGGATTCTCCATCACTGACCATTTTTAATCAGGAGTGAATGTTTTTCTAAAAGATCTAGTCTAGTAATTATTTCGGGGAAGTACTATGGCCCGTGTTATACAGGAGATCAAACTAAATAATTTTAATGTCCCTTTCTGGCCACAGAGTTGTAGGTCAGTCTTCATACTCCTCTGGGATCCCCAGCTGGACTACATCTCCCATGATCCACCATACCAAAGGAATTCAATGATATACCACCTTCCCTCACCAAGAGGCGAGACCATGATGCATCATGGGGGATGTAGTCAGACCAGGGAGCCCAGTTTATAATGGTAGCATGAGGCACGTGAACTATAATTCCCATGAAGAACCATAGTGGCATTTCTGAATTGAAATATCTCTGTTTTCTATTTTTCATTGAAAATAAAAATGTCCCCCCAAGGGAAAATATCTAACTAGCTCTAACCAACATGAATGGGAACACGTCTCTATATGAAAGAGTAGTTGATTTTCCATACTCCATGCACCATTTCTCTTCCCCATCAGTTCTTCTCTTGCTTGGTATTATGAGTTTCATGCCCTTAGCTTTGGCCATGTCCTGTTCGCCAGTGTAAATGCTGAGTCACTACATTGTCCTCATGGCTGTTTACAGAGTTACCTCAGTGATGAGAATCTGGGGGTCCCAAATGCCAGACACTTAGAAGGTCACACTAGATTGTGATGGCCCCCTTTGGCCTTGAATTCTGAAAATCCATGAATATTTGACTCAGTCAATTTAAGGTACTGCAAAAACGCTTACAAGAAACCATGGCCTAGCATTATCACTGCTGTAACTCTGCATAAGTAGTTGGAGTTACTCCCAGGAGGAAGTTAGATCCTACATATATTTTTGTGCCTTGCTTTGAACATGCAGGAGTAGCCAGGGCAGGGAAGTGTCTGCTGTAAGCACACATCTCAGGAGGGACCTCAGAAACATTTACCCCAAGATCCTTTGAAGGCTATATGGCAACAATTATCTCCATGGGTGGATTTTGGAGGAGAAAAGACATCTATATTTGCATATATGTAGCATGGTTTGTGCCATTAAATTACTTCTGTTGGGGTTTGGTTCCTCCAATATTGGTCCAAGGCAGTATTTCAGCCTTGGAATACAAGGGCATTTCTATGTTACCGTTATTTGGTTCTTAGAAATGGCTTGAAGCCAGAGGAGGAATGAGACCGTCACAAATGGGGAGAAAATGTCTGTTTTAGCATGGTATGATTCCCTCAGACTCTAGAAGATACAGTATCTTGTTCTCCTCTGCAATAGATCTAGCTTTACTTTTTTTGCACAAACAAGACCTCCATGGCTATTTGGATAACATACTGATGGCACCTCAGAAATGACAGCTAGCTAGATGTATGGAGCAAATTCAGAGATGCCGAATTCCCTCACTTTTGAGTGTCTCTATGTATGTGACATTTGTGTCTGTTGAAGTTGGGGCTGCTAAGCAGTACTCAGGATTTCCTGATGAAGATATTGCGCCAGTTTCTGATCTCACTTACATCAGTGTAAACCCCAGTCCTCTCTAGTGATTTCAGTGCGGTAATTCCAGATTTACGCTAGTGTCGCTAAGAACGGAAGCCTGCTCTTTAACACTTACAGTTATGGCGTGGCATATGAGAATCTCTGGGAGGCAGACAATCTCAGATATTTCCTAATTATAGTCTTCATATCTTTCATTCATTTTCTTACTCTGTATACTAGCTTCTCATTATTTCAATTCAGTTATGAATTCTGCTACTATAATTGGCCCGAATCCTGCTGTCCATACTTTCATTTTGGCATACAGAGTTATTCCACCCTAACATTATTGAGCCTTCATCATTCTGATCCAGCTGGATCCTAAACACTACCTGGGCTGTTAAACTTTGTTTCTCCCTCTCCCTATGTTTGTTCTTTTTTATCCCCATCTCCCCCCACTCTCGTTTTTCTTCTTTTTTCTTTTGTTTAATAAAAGTTTGGCTTAGCCATCCAAGAGTGTATATTTTGCAACCAGTCTGTGAAAAAAAAAGAGGCAGCTAAAAGCAATAGCCCTAAATGGCCTGATGCTGGTACAAGTTTACCAGATCTCAGAGTGGCTGATAAGACTGTGCTGTGCCTGAGCTTTTTCACCAGTGACATTTCCATAAAAGTCAACACCAGAGAAAGAAGCTGCATTTTCTATCTTTGCTGGAGGGGGTTTTCCCCTTGCGTGTGTTTGTCTTCTTTTGTCTTCTAGGAAATGGGATTGGATTTTAATGACAACAGCAACAATAATAGCTCCAGCCCATCTCAGCTAACTTAGTCTCTTTTCCCCAAAAAAGAGAGTTACTATCATCTTT